GTGTAGTTTCTATGGTCCAGAAGTGGTTCTATGGACCAGGTGTAGTTCTATGGTCCAGGTGTAGTTTCTATGGACCAGGTGTAGTTCTATGGACCAGGTGTAGTTTCTTTGGTCCAGGTGTGGTTCTAAAGACTTTCTTCAGTCGGACTGAAGAAGTCTTTCGGCTGAAAGACGAAACGTTTCTACAATTTTTCTGTTTTGTTTTTTGAATGTCCAGAGGACCAGACTGAGCTTTTTTAGATTCATTATTTACATTTACAAATTGGAATCTATCAGATAAATACGATTTAAACTATTTTAGAGTCGTTCCTGTAATTCCAATATCATGTCCAAAGCTCTCTCAGCTCAGTTAAATGTTGGACAGCAACAAAATACATCCTGGAGTTTTGTAGTTTCAAGTTCTTGAAGTTGTACCTTTTGAAGTTGCAGTCTCACGTAAAAAGAACACCTGGTCTCTATAAGTCCATGTCAGAAAGTGCTGGCGATCATAAGAATAAAGGTACATTACGATCTTGTAAATGATTTGACTTGAGTTTACAAATGTAGCACAACTGTTGACTAAAAGAACCTTTTTACATTAAACTACACATTGTTTTATTCTGTTCTTGCACCTAAAATATATTTTGACCCATTACTGTAAATCCTTGGTGCCCAGCTCATATTTTATACATCCCAGGTGATTTGGTAGATCATGAACCGCTGGAACCAGAATCACAAAGTTTTCAGGTTTTATTCTGAAACGATTAACTCTGCACAGACACAAACATTTGTATTTTATTTTTTATTAAAGCTTTTATTGGCAGTTTGATTTACTGGAAGTTGTTAAAGGTCCAAAAGGATCCTTGCATTTCCTGTTTCTTATTTTACATCCGTGACGTTCTGTTTCTGGAACACAGCTCTGATTTTCTGCCGGACCTCTTTGATCTGCAGTCCGTAGATCACGGCGTTGAGAGCAGGAAGTGCCACGTGGCCAAGAACCGCCGCCACCTTCCTGTGGTCGGCCAGCTGAGGGAAACGGTGCAGGATGACGATGATGAAGCCCGACGCCAGCAGGATGACGTAGACGATCAGGTGGGTGGCGCAGGTCTGCAGCGCCCGGCTGTTCAGCACCTTGTTCCTGCTGCTCAGACACACCACGGCGATCTTCAGGTAGGTGATGGTGACGCTGCCCATGGATGACCCCAGCAGGACCACGGTGTAGCCAAGGCCATAGATGTTGTTGATCAGGAGGTTCTCGCAGGAGAGGCTGAACAGAGAGGCGTTATCACAGAACAGGTTGAACACGAGGCGCCTGCAGCGGGACAGGCGGACGCTCAGCCCGACGAGGATCAGGACCAAGACTCCAGCAGATCCCCAAGCAGCCCACGATAGACCCACCACCATCCTGTGGGTCATGATGGCGGCGTATCTCAGCGGGTTGCAGATGGCCACATAGCGGTCGAAGGCCATGATCATGAGGACTGTGTGGGAGACGCTGGCGTGGAGGTGGACGCAGAAGGCCTGAACAGCGCAGACGATGTAATGGACGTAGCGCTCCGAGCTGGAGATGAGCAGGTCTCTGAGGATGTGAGGGATGATGATGGTGGCCCCGAACACATCGTTAATGCTCATGTTGCAGAGCAGCAGGTACATGGGCTGCTGGAGGCTCTGACTGCTGAAGGTCAAGACCACCAGGCCCATGTTGGACACCACGATGAAGATGTAGATCAGGAGGAGGAGGAGGAAGGCAGGCAGGGAGGACTCAGGGGTCACCTTCAGGGCCTCCAGGGTCAGGATGTCGCTGCTCAACGTCCAGTTGTTGTTCATGTTTCATCTGCAACACAACAACCGTGTTTGAAAGATCTGAGCCAACCTAAAATCAGACATTTGACTCCAACTGAACAAAACTTTATTTAAATTAAACCTTCAAACATAAACAAGTGTGAGAATTTAAACCAAAGTTAAAATGTTTCACTGATCACATCTTTATTTCTGCACAACAAACATCTTCTGCCTCCGTTTCCCAGAATGCTCCTCTGCTTCACCAACCTTCTCTGAGCTGCTCCAGCTCCAAACTCATCTTCTCTCCAGTGTGCCCGAGGACGCTGGGGGAACATTTGTGTGTGTGTGTGTGTGTGTGTGTGTGTGTGTGTAGGGTTGGATAACTCCAGTAATCAGAGGTGACCTGATGGACAATAAATGATTTAGTTTCTGTTCACATCAGAGTTCTGCAGGAGTTGTTTCTTCTCTCAAAACGAGTAAAGAAGTGGCACATTCATGGTCCGTGGGTCCACTGGTCCCACTCAAGGCCAATGGTTCCACTGGTCCCACTCAGGGTCAATGGTTCCACTGGTCACACTCAGGGCCAATGGTTCCACTGGTCACACTCAGGGCCAATGGGTC